CAAAGTGGCTTCTAAAGAAAATAAATAGAGCTATACATGAGTGATCTATTGAAAAATCATTAACTATTCTCAATGGTTGTTGTAGGAAACACATAGATCTTAGGTTTTTGATTGCTCAGTTTGGTACTTTGATGACAAAAAACCAAATCAACCCTGTAGATTAACACCCATCTGCTTTGCTGGTTAAAATCTTTTGTATGTTTAATTTTTTTGATTTTTGTTTTATGACATGGGGTCTCACTGTGTAGTTCAGGTGGCCTTGAATTTACTACACAGTCCCAGATGGCCTCAATCTCGTAGCAACCCTCCTGCCTCAGCCTCCCAAGTGCTGAGATTACAGGCGTGTATTTACTATTAATGAAATTTTGGTCCTGGTTGGAGGTTTGGACTGGTTTTGGCTAGAACATCTAATTAGAATATCGAACTAATACTTTTGTTGTTATTTTTGTATACAGGTATTGGAAATAAATAGCTCTTCTGGCTTTTGCACCATTTAAATATATATGAGTGTCATCTGACTACAATGTTTCTGATGCCCACCTCTTCAGAACTGAACAGTGGGCAGAACTTCCTAACCCAGTGGATGACCAATCCTTCCCGTGCTGGGGTCATATTAAATCGTGGATTTCCTACTTTGGAAGCAGATGAAGAGAAGCAAACAGCTACAAATACTTCTACTAGCTTTCCTATTAAAGCTACACATTTTCCCAATAGTTTCAGCTTTATTAGTGAAGAAGATTCACTTCAGGAAGAACGGAAGTTGGAGTCTAGCAGCCCTCATAAATTACAGTCAGAAAAATCGGAAGCCTGTACAGTGTTGCCTTTAACTGCAAAGGGGCTGCAAACAGTGGCATGTCAGGACACTCCTGGAGATCAGAAAGACAACAAAAGTGACTTTATGCCACATCTCGATAGTGATTTCAAAGACGTGTCTTATAATGACCCACTTTTTAAAAAGCTTGAACAGGTACAATAGGATTTGTGTTATTATATACTAGTGTATATTAGTATGATTAATTATATATAATGATTAATTATAATTATATGATTAATATGTATGATATATTAGTATATTATATACTAGTGTATATTAGTGTGATTGAAGACACTGTGGGATTGCAAGTCTCCTATTTCAGACCCTCTGTTTCTCTCCTTTACTCTGAAAGCCTCAAAATAGCAGATTTTGCTTTTTTCAGTGTGAAACATTAAAACGTGTTTAATAGGTAAGGTATAACTGTAACATTTAAGATCATGTCTTTATGTTACTGTCTCATTTGGTGAAAACTCAGTTAGAAAGGGTTGATCAGATAAGAGAGAAAAAAGACTTGGTGATGTCTTTATATCCACCCCGTTGTAAGACTCTAAGGATTCCTATGACTTTGTTTTTAGTTGAAAGAGCTGATACAGTTTCCTCAGAAGAAACTGGGTTGTAGGGAATTGGTGGCAGGTTTAGTTACTGAGGGATGCCTCTCAGAAACTTCATAGGAATGATACAAGAAGGAGGTTTGGAGGGGTCAGGATAATGTAAGGAGCGGGATCCCTGAAGAAGTATAAAGTTAGTTTAATAAAGTTAATTTTATATTTGAAAAGCTGAAAGAAGTACAGCAGAAGAAGCAGGAACAACTGAAGAGGCAACAGTTAGAGCAACTGCAGAGGCTCATGGCAGAGCAAGAGAAGCTGCTTGCTGTGGTGTGTGGGCAGCACATGCTTCCAGGTATGTTTTGCTTACATGGGCCTTCAGTTAGTGTAAGAGAGTTACATACATACCTTTGGTGGTCTGCTGTTATCGCTACCATTTCTGTATCATATTTGGCAAATCCCAGTATCTTCAGGGCCAGTCGTGTAAGTATGAAGTGGTCATGGTATAATATGACTTGGACACATGGGAGCTTAGTGTGTACCAGGGCCTGAGCTTTGCCCCCATCTAACATTTGTTATTAACGAAAGCCAGGTTTTGAAAAACAAAACAAAACCAGGCTTCATGGCGCGCTCCTGTAATCCCAGCCACTTAGGGGACTGAGGAAGGAGAATCACAAGTTAGAGGCCAGCTTAGGCAACTTAGTGAGATACTGTCTCTAAATAAAAACATTTAGAAAAGGCTGGAAGTGTAGTTCATTGCTTTAAAACCCTAGTACTGTGAAATAAAACAAAAGCCCAGTGTCTTGGTTACTTTTCTCTTGTTGCTGGGACAAAAATACCTGCCGCCCAACATTAAGGAAGGAAAGGTTTATTTTGCTTACAGTTCATGGAGGATTCAGTCCTTACTTGGCAGATTACAAGGCAGAGTGGCACATGGCAGAGGGCTGCAGCTCATGGCGACAGCACAGCGGAAGCAGCAGCCACACACCGGGGCGGAATGGCGGAGGAGGACTGGCCTCAAGCACTCTATTCCTCTCCCTTACATATGCAAACTCTCCACCCCAGGGCGGATGCAGCTCTCACATCCATAATTAAACTCTAATAGCCTGCCCCATGGCTGCATGAGGCTTTGTGGGGACACACAGACATAAACCATAACACCCAGTAAAAGAAAAGTCTCTCTAGAGCTACTGGTATCTAAATGCTGCCTGATGAATAGAAACTTCAGAGACATAAAGGTAAAAAGCCACTCAAGTGAAGAACCAGACCCAAATTTTTTTTTTTTTTTTGTCTTTTTGAGACAGGGTCTCGCTATGCAGTTCAGGCTGACCTTGAGCTCACTTTGTAGCCCAGGCTGGCTTCGAACTCGCAACGATCCTCCTGCCTCAGCCTCCCGAGTGCTGGGATTACAGGCGTGTGCCACCATGCCAGTTGAGATCCAAATGTTGTCTGGGGTAGCAGATGGTGGTCTCCTGTTGTCTACTACTTTAGTTAACAGAAAGCATTGAGATGTGATTTGAAAACGACTTGAAACTTTTCTTCGTTTTTTGAAAAAGCGTCTTGCTATGTAATTCACACTGGCCTTGTTCTCACTGTGTAGCCTAGACTGGCCTTGAACTCACAAAAACCCTCCAGCCTCAGCCTCCTGTGTACTGGGATCACAGGTGTATGCTACTGTGCCTGGCTAAAAAGACATTTTATATTATCAGTCTTTATTGGTGTGACTTGTATGTGCTGTAGTAGAGATATTTTCCATTTTGTTTATTCTAACTGTGTCATTTTAAAAAAAGTCAGTTGTGACCCATTGCATCTGATGATAAATTGCTGATGAATTGTGTCCACTAGTTTAAAAAGCCATGAACTAGAACAGTGTATTTGCCTCTTTGTGCTTCTTTTAAGAGACACATATTACTAGTTTAAGAAAGCGCTTATTTGTTTAGAGATCGTGCTGCGTATTGAGAATACGAAGACGACATTTGGCTTGTACGTAGCTCAGTGGTAGTACTTACCTACTATGTGTGAGGCCTGGGTTCACTCTCTAGTACTGAAGGAAGAGAAAAGACAAGACCTTGGCAAATGAGTGTGTAGAGTGGGCTGGGCGGGAAAAGGGTGGAGTGGTGGTGGGAAATTGTAACAAATACAGAGTGGTGTAAGATGTTTACTTTTTCAGTACTGGCCGTCAAATACAGCTTAGTGTGTACCAGGGTCTGAGCTTTGTCCCCATCTAACATTTGTTATTAACGAAAGCCAGATTTTGAGAAACAAAACAAAACCAGGCAGCGTTTAGATACCAGTAGCTCTAGAGAGACTCTTCTTTTACTGGGCTTTTGTTTTATTTCACAATACCAGGGTTTTAAAGCAATGAACTACACTTGCAGCCTTTTCTAAATGTTTTTAATTTAGAGACAGTATCTCACTAAGTTGCCTAAGCTGGCCTCAAACTTGTGATTCTCCTTCCGAGCGGCTCTCATGAATAAGTGAAACCTTGTTCATGCTAGGTAAATGCTCTACTGCCAGGATAGGTTCCCAGCCCTCTGTTTTTCTCTTTTGTGGTACTGGGGATCAGCTCTTGAGCACCACGGGCAAGCACTTTTTCACTGAGTTGTATCTCCAGCCGTTTTATTTTTGTTTGTGTTGCGACAAATTTATGATCCTTTTTGCCTTAGCCTCCCAAGTAGGCGAAACCGCAAGCAGAGAGTATTTTAATAGGCTTTTCAGGTAATTGTGATTGTTATTCTTTGCTATTGTATCTTAACTCTACAAGTGATTTATTTGTGGTGGTAGAGCCTTCACTCTGAGGCATACCCTCATCCTCTCTACATTTGGCTATTTCTTAGTGGTTACTATATTAGCAATATAAAATTTGAAACCATATTAACTTTTTTACCCTATTAAAATATTAAACATATTGAATGCTTTGACTTTGTTTTAGTTTGTTTTTTGTGTTTTGAGACAGTTTTGTCATATAGTAAGTCTCCAGCTTATGAATGAGTTCCATTCCAGGAGAATTAAGTTAGATTTGTTTGTAAGTCTGAGGAGAAAGATTTGTACTTTGTAGCAGTCCCTTCCACATCACTGCTGCTTTTCCTTTTGCTTCCAGACACCCTGGGCTCTGATCGAACACTGTACTATTGTACACTGTTGCACTGTACAGTAAGCACACAGCAGCACAGTTGTGACAGTGTCCTGCAGAAACGTGAGCTACTTTTGTGATTTGTTGATCTGTTCACATCTACCAGTGTATGTAAATGCAAGGTCTGTTGGTATCTATGAAAGTTTGCCACTCAAATGTTTATAAGTCAGGGACGTACTGTATAGTTGAGCCTGGCCTTGAACTCATAATCCGCCGGCCTCAGCCTTCCAGGTCCTGGGATTATAGGCATGTGTTGCTATGCCTGGCTTTAATATTGTAACATTTTGAGTGATTTGGTTTATTGGTCATTTGGTTTGTTTTTATAGTGCCGGTGATAGAATCCAGGCCTTGTACAAGTTTTTTTTTAAATTTTTTTTATTTTAAAGAGTAAAAGAAGGATAACAGTAATGGGGGGGGGGCTTACCAAATTACAGACAAAGTGGTAGGAAATTATCAATGGTTATTGTTTTACATATTGTTATCTACAAGATAGTTTCTCAGGAAAACAAATAGACAAATAAT